CAAGGTCTTTGATTTTGTCCTCATTCTCCTTGTCTTTCTTCTTTAGCTCCTCGATTTCTGTGTTTTCGAACTCCATTGCCTTCTCAATATCATTCGTCTTCTCTCCTATTTTTCTCGACTTCTCACTTAGCGTGCTCAATCCAGTTTGAAGGCTACTAACCGAATTCTCCAAAGCAGAAAAACGTTCAAATATACCTTCGAGCCTCTGTAGTCTATTTTTGACGCTCGCAAGCGTGTTGCAGATCGTTTCAAGTTGTGAGGCGATTCTTTCTGTCATATTCAACGCTTCCAACACTTTGTTGTCTTCGCCTTCGTCGCTTGCTGTGTTTATATTTGGGTCAGAACTTGGGCTCTCACAAATCTTTTTTCCTTCAGGAGAGGAAATATCTCCATCAAAACTTAATCTCTCTTTATGTTTGTAGCATTACGCCATAGACTAAGCTTATGGACATAAAATATTGAAAATTCGTTGAAAAACAGCCGGGAGGGAAACACGTACGTCTTCACTTGTGCATACCTTGTCCCAGTCCCCAATATATCATATTGTTGGATCCATTTCTATGCCAAGATCCCTCACTGAGTTGGATGAAGTAACTTCTTTGCCTAGTAAAATAACATGAAAATCTTTGTGTAGACTTAGCAGCATCTGGCTATTTCCCATCACTAAGAGGTTAGTCTTATCAGGGTTGATGAGGAGACCATTATAACAGCACCATGTAGCAATCTTTGCCAGGTCTTCATTTATCAGCTGCACCACTGCTGTAGCATCTTTGACCGGAAACAACAAGTACAGCTTTGAGTTGTTTTTTTTTTTTTTTTTTTTTTTTTTTTGATCAAGTTCAAGTTTATTAAGTTTGCAGGAAAATCTTTGTACAATAATCACCTGAATTACAAAAACACGAATTATGCAATTACTCGATTTTGCATACATTATTTGACAAAAGAGGGAAAAGGTGATAAAAAGTAAATTAATATATTATGTTTGAATTATAATTAAGATGCCTTTTTTATTTCAGAAATAAGAGTGCTAGTGTCAGCATAACTATCCAAACTTCCTAGCGTTGCAAATAGTAATGCTTGAATTTTCTTTTTGAATATGTGCTTCGGCAGACTTCGATAGCTTTCAGGAATACTGTTCCAAATTTTAGCCCCAATGATATAAAAAGAGTTTTTATGATGATTAAGCCTAGAATAGTTAATATAGTAGTTACCAGAAGATGCTGATTGGGTATTATACTGATGTATGTCTTGTGTAGAAATAAAAAGATTGCAGATATTTTTAGGTGCAGAGTTAGTGGTTATATCAAGCATTAAGATTGATGAAAGTTTGAAGATAGATAGATAGATAGATAGATAGACGTTTATTAAGAATACCTTAATAGCAGCTGGAAGCTGAATTACAAAGGTGTACAAATTATATAATAGAACTATACAATAAAATCAAACCTAAAAGGGAACTAATTTACATATGGGCCCATATACAATTGTAATAGATGTCAATTAAAATGTCTTGCGCTTGCTGGAATGAAAGTATCTCTGAACCGATTTGTTTTAAAGGAAACTCTAAATGGTCTGCGTCGTCGTAACTCCATAAGTTGATCTCGGTTGTCGAAAGGCAGTAAGTGGTACAAACAATCCAAGGGATTGGAGACGATGTTGTTAAAGAATTTTAAGCAAAGGTCTTCCCTCCGATCCCTTAGGGTTTTCAGCTCTGCCATCTGAAGCACTTCTCTATAATGATTATCATAACCGTATATAATTTTCAAGGCTCTCTTTTGGACACGCTCTAAACTTAAGGTGGTAGTTAACCCTTATTTTGTAACTAAATGAAAAAGTGGCCTGTTTCCCTAGGATTTGACCAAACTCCATGAAATTTGAACAGAATATAGACTTAAGTAAGTTTGAAAGATTGACATGGTAAGTGTGAGACCACGCCCATTGGTTGCCATGGTAACTCCAGAAAACTTAAGTCAACTTCTGAGATTATGGCAAAGTTATCTCAGCAAACATATACCATAAAGCAATGAAACTTTCTAGAGACATTAACACTGTTACAAATTGTGCAATGAGTGAAACAGTTTTTTAGTATCGTCAAATCAATGTCGCTCTGACATAAAGAAGCACGTTTCCATAGCAACAAAATAAAACTTCACAAAAGACTAAAACTAGTTCACTCATTGCACAGTACAGCCAAAACTACACAACCTGTGAAAAAATCATGCAAATCCATTGAAAACTGGCAAAAATATGACTGCCACAAGATAGACAATTCTTAAACATATAACTTTAAGAAAACTGCTTCTAAAGTCCAAGACATGTGCTGTGAGTAAAATTCACCATAACATCCCCCCATTCTGTCAAGAAAGTTATTTTCTTGAAATTGTGTTGCACTAGGAAGTAAATATTAATTTGAAGGCCTTTCTCCAGCTAGATTAGATGGTTAAATGTGGAAAAGTTCAGTCCTCTTCATGAACCCTACTCTTTTGGAGTGACCACAACTTCAAAAATGGGTTCCACATATTTTATCTCCACAGTTTGCTCTCTACTAGTGGATGGTAACTCCTGAATGTGTTTCTTGGACTTAATATTCTTGATTCCTTGTTTAACTGATATCTCAGGCTTTGAATCAAGACCAAAAGCCCCTGAAGAGTATGACACTTCCCCTTTTGACTTTCGCTTTGCCCGTAAAATCTTCCTTTGTGTTCTGTACTTCACAGAAACTTTTCGTCCAGCAGTTACGATCCTTCTTTTGTCTTGATCTCTCAGGGCCTTCAACATACTTTGACCAGGATTAACCCCACTGAGATCCATAATGACTGCTTTGCTGGCTGCCCCAGTGTTAAACACAGCCACAGTTTCACAAACAGCAATTTGAACTTTACGAACTCCAACAAAGGTAGTTTTGGAACATCTGGACCACAATTGAGAATTGACACTTTCATTCTGGTTTTGAGTGAAACCTTGAAGACATCTTGATAAAAGAGCATTATCTGACAATCTTTTAAAAATTGGGTCCAGCTCTTTCATGAAAACTGCAGGAAGACGCTTGCTGTTGTCGTAGGTGTTTGTCTTATTATGCATGTCAGCCCAGAACTTACACCATGTGTCTTTACCCTTTGGACAGTGTCTGTGCTGCTTTTTGAGTGACATGTCCTCATCCACTATCATATGACACTGAATTGCTTTAATGCTTTCTTTCATCCCTTGAAGGTTGCCACAATTCTCTCTTATAGCATTACCATAATAGTTTTGAATGCGGTTGATAACTTTGTCAGTGAGCCTTCCCTTTCCAGCGACACCTTTTCCATCTGCCAGCTTTCTTCCCTTCATTTCCTTTTTAAACTTTCGGAGAGCTGTACCCATTCTCTTCTGCACATGGCCCACACACTCCTCTTTGACTACAGGATATTTGTCTCCAAATTTTGCAGTCATGGCTTCTCGCACTCGACCAAAAGAACTACTGTCACCATCTCCGACAAAAGTTGTATACTTGAGATGCAACTTCTCTACACTTCTGCCAAACATTTCTACTGCTGCAGAAGCCTCCATGTCCTCAGAGCTGGTAGAATGGTTAATGTGGCAATTTGTATGGCTGGCTTTCCAAGCTTTGTATTCCTCAGAATCTCTGTCCATATGCTCACGAGCTCGACACTCATAGCAAACAAGAGATTTGACCTCATAATCCAGAATTTCTCCAGTTGCCACTGAAATGACAAACACCACACCAATCTTTGAGGAATGGCCCCTTTTCTGCCATGTGCCATCAACTGTAACAGCTACTTTAGCCACTTCGGTTCCATTTTCATCTTCAATGCTGTTAGGATGTTTATTTTTTGTCAGATCCGACAGCCTCCCAGCAGCATCCTGCATTTGAGTTCTAGCATGTTCTACAGCTGCCTTTTCAATTTGGATCAAATGATCATTGTAAGATTTCTTGGTCACTGGTGGACAGAAATTCATTCTAGCACAAAAGTCAGCCAACCCAGCCTGGCCAAGTTTCTGAGAAGCCAATACCGACCTCCTGTTGACTTCATGAGCCCCTCCACCAACACCTCCCAGTCTCTTACTTGTTTTCAACTCAGTCTCATGATGACAATTTGAACATCTAAGAAAAAGACATTCAGCAAGTCCTTCTCTCTGATAATCTCGCTGAAAAAGTTGCAAAGTTGATTGAGATTTGCGGCAGAAACTGCAAATTGCTGCTGAGGCGATACAATCTCTAAGTAAAGTGGCATCTTGAATTTTATAACCACTTGCAATGTTGTCACAATTTACTGATGGAACTCTGAGCCCAACAGTTATCGACTTCTTACGGGTTAGAATGCCTTCCTGCTCTTCATACATCGAAAACGAAGAATTCTGAAGCTTTGAGGCGGAAACATTGACTTCCATGGGCAATTCTTCACTTTCACTGGCGTCGCTGTTGTCACTAACTTCGAGTTTACTTCCTGCAAGGCCATCTTGATCTGGTTCTTTAGTCAGTTTTGGACGTTTCTTTGACCCAGTAGTGCCGCAAAAAACCCTTCCTTTTTTTTCTCCTAACGGATCTGAATTTTCTTTCACCATGCTTCGCCATCTCACAAAGTACAACAAGCAAAAATGTTTGAAAGAATAATCCGACTTCACCTTCCTCTAAGCTTTCGAAAAAATCGAAGAAACGAGAATTTACTGGCTCCCGCTGCATCATGGTTACGCTAATGAAAATCAGCACTGGAGTCTATGGAATTCGGCTTGTGAGGACTGTGGAAACGGATTTCGGAGACTTTTGACCCAGCGCAGGGTCAAAAGAACCCATGGCAACCATAATAAACAAAGTGTAAACAGACGGTTGCTATGGACAATTATTAGGCCACTTTCTGATTAATTAGCCGTTTCAAGCGGGATTTTCAAATTTTTCAAAAAATGAAAGCGGGTTATAAAAGTTGAATAAATAGGGGTTTTAGGAAGCCCCAGTGGAGAATTTAAGAAATTGTTGACTTTTTTCTCAAAATAAGGGTTAACTACCACCTTAAGCTCAAATAATCGGGGAGACTATAATGGTAGACCTGACATCCATAAAGTAAGACGGATTGAATGCAAGCAACATAAAAATTCACTAATTCTGGTGATGGTACCTTAGCTCGCTTTAACTGAGTTAAAAAGTAAAGGCGCTTAGCGGCCTTTTTAATCATCTCAGTAACGTGAGTGTTCCACTTGAGGTTGTCTTGAAAATACACACCCAGTAATTTCACGACACTAACGGCGCTAACCTTAGAGCCATTAATTTCTATGAGATCGTAGGAAGGAGGGGAGCGCACGAAGGAAACTCTTAGCTCATTACATTTTTTTGGATGAAGTTGAAACGAGTTAAGTGTTGACCAGGTAGCTACTTCGTTTATCATAGGCTGAGCATTGCTAGGACCACCCTTGCTTATGATTTCATACACTGTCGTGTCATCTACATATTTTATACAATCACTGGCTGATGGTACTTTCAAATCATTTATCATAACCAAGAATAGCCACGGTCCCAATTTTGTTCCCTGCGGTACTCCTGCTCGGACTGATCCCCACTCTGAGAGACAATCATGTGCAAGTTTGACCCTTTGTTTCCTATCTTTAAGAAAGGCTATTATCCAATTAATGATGTAAGGGTTGATATTGTAGGTCGAGAGTTTCGATAGCAAGAGGCTGTGATCTATCAGATCGAAGGCTTTTCTATAGTCCAATGCAAAGATCCGCACGGTGTTCCCCGTTCCGTCTGTTGCTTGCGCCCAATTGTGCATCAGGTTTATCAATGCATGCGCAGTGGAGGATCCTGGAATACACCCAAATTGATCGGGTTCCAGGCGTTTCAGAAGTGCTGGTTTCACATGTTCATGGACGACGTAGTGCTCGGCAATTTTGGACAACGTTGGTGTCAGTGAAATAGGTCTCAAATCTTTCGCCGCATCCTCAACTATCTTTGTTTTGGGAAAAGGGGTGATGTTTGCACATTTCCAAATGTCCGGTAAAGTCCCTTGACTAATCGAGGAATTGATGATACAACGAAGAGGTTGAGCGAGCTCAGGAGCGAAGTCACGCAAGACCCAGTTTGGGATATTATCTGGGCCCCCAGCTTTGGAGGAGCTGACCGTACTAAGGCATTTGAAGGTAGCTTCCAGTGAAATAATGGGAGTTTTAAAACCCTCAGTGCTCACAGTTTCGATATTATCTAAAAGTGGGTCAAACGAAGCTTGAGGTTCTAGCAGAGCTGTGTTGATTTCATTAGCCAAGATCTTAAGGTTGATTGAGGTAGCTGGTTTACTTGCTAGGAGCTGATTTGCGACACTTGTAGATGTTTTGTTCATTCCACATAACCGCCTACATTCGGACCACCACATTTTAGGATTGTTTTCGGTCAAAACGCTGACTTTAGTGTTGTAATAAGAGCGTTTGCAGAGCCTCCGTTCCCTGTTTACTTTGTTCCGGTAGTAGTGGAACAATGGTTTGTTGTCTTGGTAATATGCTCTTTGACGGTGTGCTATAAGTGCCTTGAGTTTGGGTGAAATCCATGGTGCGTCGTTTCGGTGGAACTTAACTCGCTTTTTGGGAAGGATAGAATCTAACCCTATGTGAATTAGGTCACTGAAGTGAGCATACTGTTCTTGGACGCTATCTATAGTGTCGATTAATGACCAGTCGACCCCCGTCATATAACGACCAAAAGCCTGTTTGGACTCAGCGTTAACAGCACGTGTAGTAACCGTTCTGTTTGCAGGAATATTGGCCTTCGATCTAATTTTTGGAAACAAACCAACAGTACAATGATCGGATAGTCCGAAGGGCGGGAATGGAGAAGGTTTCTCGTAGTGTTCTGTAAGATTAGTTAGCACTTTGTCGAGTGTACGATCCCCTCTTGTTGGAAAATGGACGACTTGCGTGAGGCGGAACTGCTTAATAACTGGTGAAACATTTGCCCTGTTCCAGTCGCCAGCGAGAATTATACCTGCGCCAGGGATATCACTCTCTATCCTAGAGAGAGAATCCATCATGTAATCAAGGAGGGGCTCATCTTTGGCAGGCGGTGGAGGATGGTATACTGTACCAATGATAAGGCAGCTATAACCCCGGGGCAATCGGTTGGGCGTGATTTTGGCCCACAAAACCTCAGGGCCCTCGGGGTCAGGAAACTCATAGTCCCGTAGAATTGAGAATTTGATGGAATCTTTTACATATAGAGCCACACCCCCATGTAGCTTGTGGGTCCTATCTTTGCGTATGATGTTGTAGCCACTAATGTCAACTACGCTGTCATCAATAGAATCTTTCAGCCATGTCTCCGTTATACAACAAAGATCAAACTCGTGGGTGTTCAAAAAAATACGAAGTTCGTCTATTTTTGGTGCCAAACTCATTACATTAGACACAGCTATTGACGGTACGAACTGCAAGGTGTTTTTCCTGGCGTCGATGTTTCTCTTAGGCTTGATAATAGCCAGATTATTGAAATTGACGGCTCTTTCTTCTGTGTAACGGCTGGAGGAAACACGCGTAGTTACTCTCACGGGAATTGTTGAAAGTCTCGGTAAAGCGTGATTATTGAACCGTAAAGATTCATTCAAGATGGAAGAGTTATAGCAATTAACAGTTCTTGGTCTTGTGTAACTACTGGAGATGGCGCGTGTGGTTGTTCTCACGGGAATTACTGAAAGCCCCGGTAAGGTGTGATTGTTCGACTGTGAATAATTATTCAAGGTTGAAAATTCATTCGTTTCTGAAGAATATTTGCTTCGGCCTGTATTTAATTCAGGGTTCGTACCCTTTTTCAGAAACAATTTTCCAGGACTTTTCCAGGACTTTTCCAGGCTTCAGATTATTTTTCCAGGACTCCAAAATTCACCTTAACTCTTTCACTCTCATAAGTATAAAAGATTCATTTCTACTTTCAATTTCAACACATTGTCAGACATACAAATGAGAACAAAGAAAACAGAGAATATCAACTTCTTTCATTGAACTCTTAATATCTCAGAAGTAACATCAGAAATCCGTGACTGATACTAAGTAGAATTAATATTCACATCTTGGGATTCAAAGTGGGGTTAATTATTTTTCAGCTCTTGGAGCTTTCCTTCCAACTGCTCTTCAATGTCCTTTAAGACTGCCCTTTTTTCCTTGGCAGATCTTCGCAAACTGTTTGATTTGGCAACCCAAGTAAGGTTTCTTGAATCTTCAGCCCTATCTGCAAATTCATCTGCAGTCTTTAAAAGAGCCTCTATATCAGTTTCAATTTGCCGTTTTTTCTTCTTCAGCACATCAATCCCATCCATTGCTGCCTTTCTTTTAAGCGTGTTTTCCTGGGACACTTTAATTCTCTTCTGCTCTTCTAGATAGGAAATATATTTCTGTCGCGCTCCAGCAGATGCCATAAGTAGTTGCTTTGAGATTTTTACATTGGCAAGGCCTCCAACTGATTCAATATGATCATGAATAATCCTCTGTGCAATGAACGATCTTTCCGACAGGTTCTCAACTGCCACTTCTTTGTTTACAGAAAATCCTCTTTCAACTGTGGCTTGACCATGAGACATTAGCAGCAATAATTCAACTACCCCCCATGCTTTTGCCAGTTGCTTATTACCAGCCATGTGTTCATATAACAGTGTGTCGACTCTTAAAGAGGATTCACTAGGGTCAAAATCTTCAAAGTCAGGATTACCTGCACATTCATCCAAAAACTGTCCAAACTGATATATCACCTCATCACACTCATCAGCCTTCAATCTGTGGGCTTCCACAAGAATTTCAAGAACTCTTTTCATTTTTTTGACACATCCTTCTTTCTCTGATGCCATTAGCCTTGGATCCAGACAAGACATACTTCTTACTAGTCGATAATTTATTGGTGTTTTGTCAAGCAGTTTAGAGGCTGTTTTTGCAAGAAAATCTTTACATTCCATTCTGAATTGAAGAACTTGCCTTTCACTCAATTTCCCAGATTTTTCTTTCAGCATGTGTTGTGCCACAAAGCCAACATCAACTTTCTGGTAGTCTAACTGCTGTTCTTTATCAGTGGGCTTCAACCTCAGGATCTTCAGAGGAGATGTTGCCTCGGTAACAAGTTCACCCTTGATAAACCTATTCAACAATGATTTCAACAAAGTGTACAAACTGATACTCATGAATGGCAGCATAGGTTTATCAGTCTGAAATGCTGTGAGAAAAGGATTGATCTGTTTTGCCACTGATGAGAAGAAGGCAATCTTTGCTGGCATCAAGGGATCACAGCAACTACTGCTAATGGTCTCGTAAGATTTGGACTTGGGATCAGTAACTTTCTTTGCCTTAACAGCATTAATGTATTTGACAATGTGAGGCCACACTTCCAGTGCTCGCTCGGCAACTGACACATTCTCTAACCACCGGTGCTGGCAGAATTTTAGGGGGAATACACTGCTACCAGTTATTCTAATGTAGTCTTCTCTTCGAGCCGGACTGTCTTTAAACAGCCAGTAAAGACTGGAGAGAGTTTTCTGCACCGTCCATCCAGCTGCATCACAACCATCCTTAAAAGCTCCATGCACAACATGTATACCACAACTGCCTGTGTTAAGGAGAGTGCAACTGAAATCACTCTTCAATTCTTGCTCTACCATTTCATAAAATTTCCAGTTAACCTTGGGCCCATCCATAGAGAGTTGAATCAGATTTCTACAGCTCAAGTCCTCTTTGCAAGAATGAAACTTTTGAAGCATATCCTCTGCACTAGAATGCCCAAGAAATTGTGAATCATAATAGCGAGTTTCAACTTTGTCATGATTCCAGATGCGAACATGGAAATCCATCTGCTTCTTTTGCAGTTCGTGATTCAAACTTTCATCAAACAAAAGCACATATCCCTTTGAAGATTTGACTTTTTCCTTTAGAAGACTCTTGAAACATGGTGCAATACCAAAGCAAGAAAGATAGGAGGCCTTTTTCTCCCCACAGGTAAATTTCTTTGCAATGTCACTGTCTGGAAACATTTGCTGCACTAAGAAGTTTATATCTGTACAGGAATTATACGAATAATGGCTGCTATTCACCTTTAGCGCCCACCAAATTTCAGCAGTTAAAGTATCATTCCTCGTCACGAACCCGGACATACCTGCTGTTGTACTAGCGGCACTACTTGATACAGTCAAAGTAGAGTTGTTACTTTCAGTGGCTGTTCGAGGGGCAGCGAAAGAGCTGTTCGAGAAAAGGTTTCTTATGTCACCTGTTGTATTTCTTTGTTGCTTTTCGATAAGATGAATATGCTTCTTTCCCTTTTCGTGGCTTTTCAATGCCGATTCTCCCATATTTGATACATCAAACGCTTTCATACAAACTCTACATTTTGCTTTAAACTTGTCCGCGTCACGTTCCAGCCACAATTTATAGGAAGAGTTTTCCAACCATCGGTCACTAAACAAGCATTTCCCAGGCATATTTCGGAACAAAACATTTAAAACTCAAGACGCCCATTCACTGAGTACCCGTTTACAAAATCATGCATGCATCAAGGTTACTACTGCGCATGAGCTTATGATGATACATGAGCCCTCGATCCAGAGTTACACTCGTGTCAGTTTCGGGAAACATGAAAAAATATAGATGCGGTCATGCGGTCAAAACCAGAAAGGAATACGTTATAAAAATACTAAAAAAACTTTGCTCATTTGTTTTAGAGAAAACTTTATTACTTTGTTCAGTTTAACAGATTTCCAGGACTTTCCAGGACCAGCATTACTTTTCCAGGACTTTCCAGTCCTGGAAAATGCGATAATAAAATTCCAGGACTTTCCAGGATTTCCAGGACCCGTACGAACCCTGTTAATTGTGTTTTAGTAAGTCTTCCGGACCGTTTCCCTCGGTACTTAAAAATTCCATCCGCTCGAATGTTCTTAAATAAAACTGACCGTCTCTCCTGAAGGCTGTAATTTTTCCGGAGCGACACCAGTTCGCGCCGAGAGTACTGTAGGGTCGTTGTTTGGCGAATTGGAGAATCAAGCTGCCGAATTAAATCTCGAGTGGCTCTCTGCCGGCTACCAATGGCGATAATAGATTGAGCAGGACCGGGGTTGGTCGAAATATCAACGTATACCGTGATGTCCAATGGCGGGTCGTGGCCAGGGATGACTAAGGAGACAAACCCGTGTTTAGTGTGCTTCTGCATTGGAACTCTTGATCGATGAAAACCATCTTTGACGATACAAGTGCATTTCTTCTTGAGTTGAACAGCAGTGTGCAGGGGTTCCCACCTTGATTTAAAAGTAGCCTCGAAGGATAATAAATGGTTTAGAAATGTAGCGCTTAAACAGGATAGAATAGTGATAGAAACTAGAGCTACTCTAAACGTGGCCGCCATGATTGGCGCCGACAAACATATGCATGAAGTAGAGCATTGTTATTGGCAGGATGTAAGATTGCACGAAATATGGAATCGCATGTGTTCTGAAAGGCAGAAAGTGATGTCAACAAATGATTCCAATAAGGTACTTTCTGGGATGGTAGGTAAATCATTTATGTATAGGTTAAAGAGGGCTGGCCCCAGTATCGAGCCTTTTGGAACTTGATGAGTGATCGGGCCAAGGTTCGCGGTCTCAGAACCAATCCTGATGTACTTTTGGCACCCAGTTAGATTACTTCTAAACTATTCTAATGCAGTACGACCAATTCCAAGAGCCTGTAGTTTGGAGAGAAGTCTGTGGTGGTCAGTACTGTTAAAGGCTTTTGACAAATCCAGTAGGACCACAAGGGTCAATTTCTTTAAATCCATTGCTTCCAGTACCTTATCCGTTGTCATAATGTTTAATGTTTTGCACAAGTGTAATTTTTTATTGCCACTTAGATGTTTAGTGAGGGGCCTGTTGTTATTCATGTAGGTGGCCAGCTGGTTCAGAGCTACTCGCACACTTTAGATGCTACAGGCAAAAGTGAGACTGGGCAATTATTATTAGCAATCTTGTGGTCCCCTTCTTTCAATAATGGAACAACCTCAGATTTTTTCCAGGCTGATGGGAAGACTGAGGTCAATAAGGAACGGTTAACAATAACTATAAGAATTGGAAGAATACATAGAAGAGCATCCTTAAGTACAGACGTCGACACTTTATTGTGACCCGGGGCTTTGTTTGATGGTAAAGACATCACAATCTTCTGAATCTCCCTACTAGACACTGGATGGAAACAAAACTTGTCCACTTCTGAGATTTCATTATCTGGAACAATGACCAGTAGAGGGACCAGATTGTGGATGTTCAACAGGGACCTGGAAGGCTCAGAGGCCCAAGCACCCACAGAAGTGAAGAATTGATTGAACTCATCTGCAACCTCCTTCAACTCTGTTGTGTATACTTGCTGAGTTGTTTCCCTGCGAGGAATACAACTTCTA